GTTAAATCCTGAGTGGCAGGTCTTTTGTTTCAGCAAATTAAAAAGGATCTGAAGAAATACTCGAAGATCTTTGAACAGAAGGATCGTTTGAGCCAGTCCAAAGCCTCAAAGGTGAGCCTTGTTCCCCAAAGGGAGGGCCGTGCCGGGACATCTGCGGCCGCGGCAAAGGCGGGCCCGCATCAGGGCTGCAGGCGGCTGCTGTGTGTGTGCACAGAGTTGCTTCAGCCCTGAAGACACTGGTTCTGTTTCTCCCCTAGGAGGAATGCAGTGGGGAACTGGGGCTGGCACGGGGACCTGGAGTTGCGACCTCACTGCTGCCTTGTGGGCGGGGGACAGTGTTGGGGGAAAAGTGAGAATGGGGGAAAAGTGAAAACGAATGGAGAGGCCATTCCTGCTTGAGCGCCTCCAAATGCTGTCATCCTGGCACTGTCCACCTGGGTGTGGGCTCTTCGCGATGGGGAGGCACGTGTCTTACCAGTTCTGTGGCTTTCCCCAACCTCACGCGTAGGAATTGGTGGAGAGAAGGCGCACCATGATGGAAGACTTCCGGAAGTACCGAAAAATGGCCCAGGAGCTCTATATGGAGCAGAAAAACGAGCGCCTGGAGTTGCGAGGAGGTAACGTAGAGATCCCTCAGTCACCAGGAGCTGGCCTTTCAGCCGCCCACAGGCCCCGGTGCACACGGACTCCCGCGCTCTTCCCACTGGCCTCGGTGGTGCCACTCGGCATGTGCCCCCATGGGTGACCTGCGCCCTTTGTTCTCTCAGGTGTGGACACTGACGAGCTGGACAGCAACGTGGACGACTGGGAAGAGGAGACCATAGAGTTCTTCGTCACTGAGGAAATCATCCCTCTCGGGAACCAGGAGTGACCTGGGAGCGCTGTGGTGAGCGTCTGCAGGGGACGCGATGGGGTCCCCGTTAGCTGCTCTCAGCTGCTTCTGTTATCCCATCACTGAGAAAGCACCTTCTTTAAGGCAGAGGTGAAGCCCCAGTGTTGTGTGCCCAGGGTTAGCTGAGCCTCGTGTGAAATGTGGAGTCGGTGCCGACATGGCCTTGACTGCTCCCTCTGACCACATCACAGATGACGCCTTTCAGGCCATGCTGGGTGAGGGAGGAGCCGTGACGCCTTTCAGGCCATGCTGGGTGAGGGAGGAGCCGTGGCCAGGTGCTGGGAAGTGCTAGGAAGAGGAAGGTGGCCATGCCTGGCCATTTCCTGACGCCTGTGCTGGTGACGGCCGCGGTGTGTCCTCCAGACAGAAACGCCGGCGTGCGCGGCTGCGACTCTGCTTCTGGCAGTTCTGAGAGGAGCCTTCAAGTCGGGGGCTGGGAAGCAGAGTGCGGGAGCTCCTGAGTCCTGGGGGCCTCCGTGCCTCATGGCACGGGCATGTGTGGGACAGAAGGCCTAGTGGGGTGTCTGAGGGTGGCCTGGTTGCTGTCCTCAGGGCAGGACCATGAGCAAGTAGGGGTGGCGTATGGGCTCGGCTCTCTGTGGCCAGGGCGGCTCCTGTTGCGGGACTCAACCTCAGCCCCAAGGCAATGTTCAGGGGCTCCCTCAGCATTTCGAGGTGCTGTTTAGGGCCACCATGCATGCCTGTCCAGGGGACAGACTGCACCCGCTGCTCCTGCACTGAGCTGCAGGATGGAGCGTGAGCTGCAGCTCCTCTGTTGCAGTGCAGCCGCGTGTGGTGTGTGGAGCCGAGGCCGACCTGCAGGAAGCCCGCGTGACTCCCGCCGCCTCCCCGTGCTCTGTGGCTCTGGACTGTGACCGCGCCTGGATTCTGCCATTGCGACACATTTTTGTGCCTTTCAGCCCCTGGTGTCTGCAGTGGGGTGTTTAAGGCACCCGCTTCCACTTCTTTCTTCTTTTTTTTTTTCCTGAGACGGAGTCTCGCTCTGTCGCCCAGGCTGGAGTGCAGTGGCGCAGTCTCGGCTCACTGCAAGCTCCGCCTCCCGGGTTCGCGCCATTCTGCTGCCTCAGCCTCCTGAGTAGCTGGAACTACAGGTGCCCGCCACCTCCCCCGGCTAATCTTTTGTATTTTTAATAGAGACGGGGTTTCACCGCGTTTGCGAGGATGGTCTCAATCTCCTGACCTCGTAATCCGCCCGCCTCGGCCAAAGTGCTGGGATTCCAGGCGTGAGTCACCGCGCCCGGCCCACTTCTTTCTTGTTTGGAGTTTTCTGTCGGAACCACTGGTGTTGGCTCCGTAGACTCTTAGCAACGCCGCCGGCAGCACCTTCTGCGCCCAGTGATGTTTCCACGGTGCCTGTACACAGCTGAGCGGCGTTTCCGTTGAAGGACTTGCATCCCCATCGCGGGCAGTGCTGGATGTGTCCCGGAGACCCACTGGGAGGGCGCCGCCATGCCTCATACCCCCACCGTGCAGGTTGTGGCCGGTTTTCTCCACAGGTTGAACATGGAAATAAAAGCAAACTTGTATGAAAAACCCGTCTTTCTCCTCTCTTTGAATGTAGATAGTGACCTTGAACTTGGTGCGTGCCTCCCTCCCCAGTGGCAAGGGCCTGCTTGCCCAGCCAGACCTCCGCAGGGCACTGTCATGTCCAGTCATCACACACACTCGGCCACCCTGTGTCCAGCGATGCACTAGTCACACCAGTCTCTTCTGTTGCGTTGTTTTCTGTGAAAGATGCTGGTCATTTTCCCTGGTGAGAACCATGTGACTTTTCCCTGGAGTTAGACGTGGTGGGAAACTTGCATTGAGAATGGTCAGTTCTGCCTGTTTTTAAATTTTTAGGTGGTGTCTCGCACTGTTGCCCAGGCTGGAGTGCGGTGGCACGATCTTGGCTCACTGCAACCTCCTCCTCCCGGGTTCAAGCGATTCTCCTGCCTCAGCCTCCCACAGTGCTGGAATTACAGGTGTGAGCCACCGTGCCCGGCCAGTTCTGCCCATTTTTATGCGGTCATCTTGAACTTGTTTCCTGTTGGGAAGGGAGCACATAAATTGGGGGAATTTCAGCCCCTCCTGTTTACAGGGTCTCACTTCCCAGCAGCACCTGTGACCCTGCAGTTTCATCCACCTCTTTTCAACTCGTCAGACCTGAGGCAGCACTCAGACCTCACAGCCAAGGGATGTTTACAAACCTGAGGCAACGTCTGGAGACGGAGGGGCTGTAATTCACAGGGCAGAGGACCCAGGCGCCTGCCGCCCTGGAGGAGTGGCCTAGAGCCTCGGGTCCCACGGTCTCCCGGGTGTGAGGAGGGTGCCTTGGTGCATTTTCTTTTTCATGAGCCCTACGTTTCTCTCATCTGCGATTCTAAAATTGCAGAATGGTTGCAATCCTGCCGTTTGTCCTGTGTCCCTCCGGTGCACATTTTATTAGGAATTCTTGTTTACACTCACGCTGCTTAAACTCTAGTGTGCCAAGAAACAGTCTTTCTGATTTCGTGGAAAGAAGAAAGACACAGAGTCTACCACATGACAGATTTTTAACAGACCTTCTAAAAACATTAACTTCCCACTTAAATGTACTAGTTGTCATTGTTGCATATAATTCATAAATAAAAGATTTCTGAAGCCCTCGTGTTGGTTTTAACTTTGCTACGGTAGACGTGGATCTCCCAGAGCCGGCCTACTGTGGAGGGACTTCCTGGGTATCAGGGTCCCCAGGGCTGGCAGGCTCAGGACGTCAGGGTGGGCTTGGGACCCCTGCTGCAGGCACCGCCTTGGTTGTGTTTCGGGAGGCCAAGGCAGGCAAGAACGCGGGGACCCATAGCTGTGTTCCTGGCAAGTGCCTTGGTCAGACGCTGGAGCCTCATCCTCGTAGAGGAATGGGACGTGGGTGTTGGAGATGTCGCCCCATCCTTGCCAGATCCACCTGGCAGGGGTTTCCTGTGGCACAGCGTTGACCCAGATGCCAAGGAAGAGGGATGTGGTCAAACATGCCCTGGCCTTGCCCAGCTGAGCTGCCAGGCAGTTGGCTTATAGGAAAGGCACGGTGGCTCTTGGGAGGGCGTGAGTCGCCCACTCTGGCGGAAATGGACCCCCAGGCCCTTTCAACTCCATAGTTAGAATCATGAAGTTGGACTTGCCAGGTTTGAACAGCTTGGATCTGATCTTAGCGTGATTTCTTCCCTTTTGTGTGTGTGTGTGTGTGTGTGTGTGTGTGTGTGTGTGTGTGTGTGTGTGTTTTTGTTGAGACAGGGTCTTGCTCTGTTGCCCAGGCTGGAGTGCAGTAGCATGATCTCAACTCACCGCAGCCTCTGCCTTCCGGGTTCAAGAGATTCTCATGCCTCAGCCTCCTGAGTAGCTGGGACTATAGGCATGCGTCACGCCCGGCCTGGCCTTGGTGTGATCTCTGTCAGTGCAGGAGCGGGTTTTTGTGCTTGGCACCGACCCTGGCTCTGGGCAGTGTCATCCTGCACTCTGGTTAGTGCAGCCTGGTGGGGTAAGGTGACCTTGGGGTGGGGGTTCACAGTTCGGCGTCCCCCCCGCGCCCGGGCTTGCAGTGGAAAAGTTGAGCACAGTCTTTAGGTGTTGAATACGCCTGAGAGCGAATCTGAGCACTGACTGTGAAAGGGGAGGAGACCACACCTGGTGCATCAGAGACGATCATGAGTCCATCATGGTGGCTCATGCCTGTAATCCCAGCACTGACTGGGAAAGGGGAGGAGACCACACCTAGTGCATCAGAGACGATCAGAGAGTCCATCATGGTGGCTCATGCCTGTAATCCCAGCACTTTGGGAGGCCAAGGCAGGCAGATCACCTGAGGTCAGAAGTTCGAGACCAGCCTGGCCAACGTGATGAAACCCTGTCTCTACTAAAAATACAAAAATGAACTAGGCATGGTGGCAGGTGCCTATAATCCCAGCTACTTGGGAGGCTGAGGCAGGAGAATTGCTTGAACCCAGGAAGCGGAGGTTGCAGTGAGCTGAGATTGCACTACTGCACTCCAGCCTGGATGACAGAACGAGATTCTGTCTCAAAATAATGAGCATAGTGGTGCACGCCTGTAGTCCCAGCTACTGGGGAGGTTGAGGCAGGAGGATCACTTCAGCCCAGGAGTTCAAGGCTGTGGTGAGCCAAGATTGCACCGCGGCACTCCAGCCTGGGTGACAGAAAAAAAAAGAAGCATGGTTGCCGTTGGAAACGGCACTTGGAGTCCAAGTTGCTCAAGTTGCTGAGTGAAGCTTCAGCTGCTGCCATTTGTCTGCTTCAGGAGAAAAGCTCCAGGGCCATCCTGGTCTGTGCGTGAGGGGCCCTGGGGTGGGCAGTGCCTCTCCCGGGCTCAAGGTGGGAGAGGGACCCACCCTGCAAAGAAGAGGGGCAGCCCCTCCACCTGCGTCCTGGTGGGTGTCAGGCCGGCTCATGTGCACCAGGTGAGGCACGTGGAAACCCGGGGTTGCCACAGTGAGGGTGGAGAGAGAGGCTGCTGTCCCTGTGTGCAGAGGTGATCGGGAGGGCCACCCTGCTCCTTGCGGCCCCAACCACCTAAGCGGTGCCAGCCCGGCTCCCCCGAGGCCCAGCTGATGTGACCTAGGTGGGGCGGGGCTGAGTGCAGGTAGGTCTCACCTCTGTTGGGATAGCAGGGAGTGCGTCCCCCTGCCCATGCCCATGACCTGCGAGGCCGCAGGTCCCTCCCCGGTCCGGGACAGCCCGCTGGTGTTGAGAGAGATGGAGCCCAAGGACCAGCCACTCATGGTGAGCACCCTCCCTCATGTCCCCGCCCCCCTACACTGCGAGTGCCCGCTGCCCGCCGCCTCCCAAGCCTGCAACCCCAGCAACCCCTCTGTTATCAGCCCAGTCTACTCCCCAACTTTTCCTCCCTGGAAGCTAGCTGCCTGCTCTTCCCCACCGCCTCCCCATTCTTGCCTTAAGCCTCCAGACACCCTCTCTACCCTCATCCCCATGCTGCTGGCACCTGGGCGTGTGGGCTCCGGGCTCCCCAGCCCCCTCCCCGGGCCCAATCCAGGCCGTCTGTGGGGGACTCAGAGCCTCTGCCAACTGGACACCGGTGAGCTGAGCTGGTGACTTGCCCCAGTCCTGTAGCTGGGTAAGAGATGCCAGTCATGACTGTCCCTCAGTCACAGCTGCTGTTTCTACCAAAAAACTGTGTCCCTTTTACAGAGGGGGAAACGGGCATCCTGGGGCCACAGCTCCTATGCAGCTGGGGTGGGTTTGAGGCCGCGATCTGGCCTTCAGAATAGGGGAGTGGGGAGGGCAAGGCCCACAGTTTCCCCTCAGGGAAGTTTCCCCTGAAGGAGCTCAGCGTCTCTTCTGGAGGTGGCAGGACCGGGAGATAAGGCCTTGGGCAGGCATTCCCCACCGTGTGCCCCAGCCTCCCCAAATGCTCAGTGAGGGAAGCCACGTCTTGTTGGGGGCATGGGCAGCCCCGTGGGAGTGAAGTCAGAGCCCACTCTGAGGGGTGCAGGGCTAAGCTGCTGCCTTTGCCTCTTCACGGAGACTGAATCCCAGAGCCAGAGGGCCGGGGGGGCGGCTGGGCTTCAGGGATGGGGGCCCGAGGATGAAGAGGGCCTGTGCAGCTGCCCTGGTGACCGCCTGCAGGTGGCACTTCGAATCCGCCCACCCAATGACGCAGAACTGGAGGAGGGAGCCGCGGTCATCACCCACAAAGTGGGGGACCAGGTGAGGCTGGGGTTCAGAGGGCTCTGTGCTGTCACAAGCTCACAGACAGGGCTCTGTCCCCAGGGGTGCTGCTGAGACTGACACCGGGCCCACCCCACTGGGCCCAGTTTCTAGCCAGGGTTGGGGACACACAAAGTCAGGGAGAGATGAGTGCCACCAGCAGAATACAGCAGAGCCCGCGGGGTGGGCAAAGTCAGGGCAGGGGAGCGGGCTGGAGCCCCCCAGCAGTAGCATGCGGGGAGCCACAGAGCGGGGAGGGGGCTGGGAGGAGGGCAGAGGCTTCAGCGGGCCCAGCTCTGAAACTGTGTGGCTGGAAGGGGCCTGGGTGGCTGCAACTCAGCAGGGAGGGGCGCCAGCATGCTGTCCGTCACAGAGATTTCTGCTGCTTCGAAGCAGGCTCAGAAGTCAAGCTGTTGCCACAGGTTAGGGATGTCTGTGCCCTCGGTGGTCACTCACAAGAAGAAATGCCCAACGTGGGGTGGAACTCAGTGTCGCCAAGTGGATCAGGTTTTCCCGTTTGTCATTAGAGAGGCCACTTCACAAGGAATGAGACATGGCCCCTGGGAGTCGTGTGCACTCAGGGGCAGGGGACCCTGGGTGTGTCAGAGGGAGCTCCCCGCTGAGCAGGGGGGCACCAGTCCTGGTCCCACGTCAGGAGGCTCCAGGGAATCGTTGTCTGCAAGAAGATTAAATGGACAGAAGGTCAGGTGCACAGACATCTCCAGGGGGAGTGGACTGCAGAGAGGGCAGGTGAATCAGTGCTGAGTTCATGGAAAAGCAAACCAAAGAAACCAGACAGGCATTTAAGTCTAGGGGAGACAGGCTCTGCAGGAAAGGACACGGGAGAGGGGGTCGAGACCCAGGGAATCAGCTGAGAGAGTGGGGACAAGTAGGATGGGAGAGGACAGTGACTTCATAGGATCTTTGCAGAGATCCTGAAGCTTTACATTGATATACCTGCATCATGGATAAAAACAATGGAAGTTGGCCAGGCACGGTGATTCACGCCTGTAATCCCAGCACTTTGGGAGGCTGAGGCTGGCGAATCACCTGAGGTTGGGAGTTTGAGACCAGCCTGATTGGCCGGGCGCAGTGGCTCAAGCCTGTAATCCCAGCACTTTGGGAGGCCGAGACGGGCGGATCACGAGGTCAGGAGATCGAGACCATCCTGGCTAACACGATGAAACCCCGTCTTTACTAAAAAATGCAAAAAACTAGCCGGGCGAGGTGGCGGGCGCCTGTAGTCCCAGCTACTCGGGAGGCTGAGGCAGGAGAATGGCGTGAACCCGGGAGGCAGAGCTTGCAGTGAGCTGAGATTGCACCACTGCACTCCAGCCTGGGCGACAGAGTGAGACGCCGTCGCATTTAAAAAACAAAGTCTCACACTATGAAGACCAACCTGACCAACATGGGGAAACCCTGCCTCTACTAAGAATACAAAATTAGCCGGGTGTAGTGGCGCACGCCTGTAGTCCCAGCTACTCAGGAGAGGCTGAGGCAGGAGAATCGCTTGAACCCAGGAGGCAGAGGTTGCGGTGAGCTGAGATCGTGCCATTGCACTCCAGCCTGGGCAAGAGTGAAATTCCGTCTCGGAAAAAAAAAAAAAAAAATGGAAATGGAACTCACAAGAAGGAACAGAGTCTTGCTCTTGTTGCCCAGGCTGGAGTGCAGTGGCGCGATCTCGGCTCACTTCAACCTCTGCCTCACGGTTCAAGTGATTCTCCTGCCTCAGCCTCTTGAGTAGCAGGGATTAACAGGCATCCACCACCATGCCCTGCTAATTTTTGTATAAAAATTACAGAAGTACTTTTAGTACTTTTTGTACTAAAAAGTAGAGACGGGGTTTCACCGTGTTGGCCGGGCTGGTCTTGAATTCTTGACCTCAAATGATTCTCCTGCCTTGGCCTTCCCAAGTGCTGGGATTACAGGTGTGAGCCTCCGTGCCTGACAAAGCCTGCTTTCTTAACCACCAGTGCCCTCCTGCTTCCCGTTGGACTCCTCCTGCAGCCCAGGCCTGGCCGATGGCCAGCACGCACGGTAGGGCTGTGTGGACAGGAGCTGCCCCGAGTCATCCTGCCTTTTGATTGTCTCCATCTTTGGAAAGAGAAAAGCATAAAGAAAAGGGACTTCACTTAGGTCGTGGAAAAGTGCTGGCTAGAAGCCAGGAGAGCCCTGGGGAACTGGCCCTAGCCCTGCCACTGACTCCCGAGAACCAGTGGCTGGCCCTGGTCTCCTGGGATCTCAGTTTACAAAGTTGTGAGCTGAGGTGGGGTGGGGTGGTCTGCCCGACAGTGGGGTGCTTGGTCCCACTCAGTGGTGCCTCCCTAGACCCTGTGGTTCCTCTTGGCCACTGGGGTCCCCAAGGTCCTCCCAGCCAGGAGCTCCTTGCTGGATTAACCAGCTGAGGGCGAATTTGGTTTCCAGTTGTCCTGTGTCCTCCTCCCAATTTCCTGGGAAAGGCTCCTTTGAACCTGTCTGTCCCCCAGGGACCCGAATACACTTTGCGTCATAATTAGGTATTTATATGAGATGGCCCTGGGGGCGACCGGGTGCTCAGAGAAACAAACAGCAGGGCTGGGGGTCTTGGCTGGGTCCTTTTTTATTTTATTTTATTTTATTCTATTTTATTTTATTTTAAGACGGAGTCTCACTCTGTCATCCAGGCTGGAGTGCAGTGGTGTGATCTCGGCTCACTGCAAGCTCCGCCTCCCGGGTTCACACCATTCTCCTGCCTCAGCCTCCCAAGTAGCTGGGACTACAGGCACCCACCACGACACCCGGCTAATTTTTTGTATTTTCAGTAGAGACGGGGTTTCACCGTGTTAGCCAGGATGGTCTCGATCTCCTGACCTCGTGATCTGCCCGCCTCGGCCTCCCAAAGTGCTGGGATTGCAGGCATGAACCACTGCGCCCAGTCGACTGGGTCTTTTATTTTTGAGTGAAGATCTCACTCTGTGGTCCAGGCTGGAGTGCAGGGATGCGATTCCAGCTCACTGCAGCATTGAACTGCTGGGCTCAAGCAGTCCTCCTGCCTCAGCCTCCCATGTAGCTAGGACCACAGGCATGCACCACCATGCCTGGCTAATTTATTTTTATTTTTATTTTATTGTTTTGAGATAGAGTCTAGCTCTGTCGCCCTTGTTGCAGCTCACTGCAAGCTCCACCTCCCGGGTTCGAGCGATTCTCCTGCCTCAGCATCCTGAGTAGCTGGGATTATAGGAGCCCGCCACCACGCCCCGCTAATTTTTTGTATTTTTAGTAGAGACAGTGTTTCACCATGTTGGCCAGGATGGTCTCAAATTCCCGACCTCAGGTGATCCACCCGCCTTGGCCCCCCAGAGTGCTGGGATTGCAGGTGTTATTCACCGTACCCTGCTCGGTCCTTTGTTCTCCCATTTCCTGTGTGTTGTGCTCAGCCCCAGTGAGCCACAGGAGACAGGGCCAGGAGTGGAAACACTCAGGGTCGTGCGCAGAAACCCCGAGCACAGCAGCTGGGCGCCAGCTCGGCACTTCCCATCCCCTTCCCATTCCCACCCCATGGGTTCATCAAAGGAAGCCCTGGGCCCCGAGTGAGGCTGGTGGGTGCCTGGGCTGCTGTCCTCGATGTGGTTTGACCAAGGCAGTGTTTCCCAGGTGTCGGTGTGGGTGCTGGGCTGCAGAGCCCAGCAGGCCCGGAGAGCTTCCCGCTGTGCTTTGAGGGTGCAATAGCGGTAAGCACTGCTCCTTAAAAGCAAGTGCAGAGAGTGCTGGGCTGGTGGGTGGGTGCAGGTCCCCAACCCTACTCCTGGCTCAACCACAGAGGTCCGCAGCCCTTCCTGGACCCGGACCAAGCCCTTTGGAGGGGTCCAGGGTGGGTGCTGGGACCAAGCCCCTTGGAGGGGTCCAGGGTGGGTGCTGAGCCTGGGGTCCGTCCAGGGTACAGACCCTGCCCTATCCTGACCAGCCTGGTCGGCTCATTGCTTGCAGATGGTGGTACTCATGGATCCCGGGGAGGCGCCAGAGGATGTGGCGGGCACACACCGGTCCCGGGAGCGGACCTTCGTCTTCGACAGGGTGTTTGACCAGCACGCATCTCAGGTCTCCACCTGCCTCTGCCATCCCTGCGTCTCCCTCTGGGGCTGGAGCCCCCTGGTGAGGATATGGTGGCCAGGCAGTCTCGGCTCCATCTTCTCGCAGGGACAAGGAGACTGTGCAGAAAGCCCATCCCGGGGGTGGCAGCAGGAGGCCGTTTCACAGAAAGTCCATCCCGGGGGTGGCAGCAGGAGGCCCTTTCACAGTGCAGTGGCCACCAGGTTGCTGCTTTGCATAGGCTCATTTTTTTTTTTTTTTTTTTTTTTTTGAGACGGAGTCTCGCTCTGTTCCCCAGGCTGGAGTGCAGTGGCGCGATCTCGGCTCACTGCAAGTTCCACCTCCCGGGTTCACGCCATTCTCCTGCCTCAGCCTCCCGAGTAGGTGGGACCACAGGCACCCGCCACCATGTCCGGCTAATTTTTTGTATTTTTAGTAGAGACGGGATTTCACGGTGTTAGCCAGGATGGTCTCGATCTCCTGACCTCGTGATCCGCCCGCCTCGGCCTCCCAGAGTGCTGGGATTGCAGGCTTGATCGCTCTTTCCGCCCGGCCACATACGCTCTTTCATTCATGCTCTCAGCCCTTCATTCCACCAAGCGGCCCTGTGTTCCGTGGGGCTAGAGTGTAGCCCTGCCTACACGCCCACATCCTGGCAGGGGGGCCGACCAAATGGAGAAGCAGGCGTGTTGTGAGCACACATGGTGTCAGCCAGAGCCTGCAGAGAGGCTGGACACTAGACCCGGGGGAGGAGACAGCCAGAGGGACGGGGATCCGGGCGGAGGCTTAATCGTGCCCATTTCACAGAAGAAGCCCCCGACAAGAGGTCGCATGGTGAGACCCGGAGCCGAGCGTTTGGACCCAGAGTCAGATCACACTCTCTCCTGGTCCTCCATGCCACCACCCTCTACTAGCGACAAATGCTGTCACCTGACCCCCACCTGGGAGGGGGGCCACAGAGGGGAGCCAGGACCCAGGGAGGGGTGGTGGAGTGAGAGGCACCCCCCACTGAGCGGGGCAGGTGGAATTTGAACCCTGGCCTCCTGAACTAGGAGCGACAGACCATCACCAGGGTGAGCAGTCGGGGGATGTCTGGCCCCAAGACAAAGCCCAACGGAGGATTTCATGCTTCCTCCAGGCCCTGCAGCCAAGTGACCTCCCTTTCCGTGGTGAAGGGTAAAATCAGGGCTCCCTGTGCCCTTTGAACCCCACCTTTAACTTCTTTTTTGTTTTTTTTTGTTGTTGTTTTTTGTGACAGGGTCTCACTCCATCACCCAGGCTGGAGTACAGTGGCGCAATCTCAGCTCACTGCAACCTCCGCCTCCTGGGTTCAAGCAATTCTCCTGCCTCAGCCTCCCGAGTAGCTGGGATTACAGGCACCTGCCACCATGCCTGGCTAATTTTTGTATTTTCAGTAGAGATGGGGTTTCACCACATTGGCCAGGCTGGTCTTGAACTCCTGACCTCAAGTGATCAGCCTGCCTCGGCCTCCCAAAGTGCTGGGATTACAGGTGTCAGCCACCATGCCCGGCCCCCATCTTTAACTTCTGAGAAGCCACAGGTCCCAGGTGTGCACAGCTGTCCCCTAGTGATCAAAGATGGTTGCAG